GGGGTGGCGGAGGTGGGGGCCCCCCGGACGAAGCAGGGATCACAGCAGCGCCACTGGGATGGCCAGGTGGAAGCGTTGGGCCTGAAATGCAGAGAATCCGGATTAGATGTGAAGCGCGGTCTCCTCCAGCCCATTCACACGGTCACGGTCCCGCTCCCAAGGCCAGGAGCTGACCGCATGAGGAGTGAGCAACGCAAGGAAGCACCAAGCACGCAGGAGAATGGGAGATGGTGGATGCAGCAATGGTCAACCAGCTACAGTTGTGTCCTGTGAGACCCTGTCACTGATAAATCTGCCTTTTCCTTTGTCTTCTACCTGTGTTTCATTCTGTGCTGAACTCAAAACACAGATGGCGCTTCCCAACTGATGGGTGGCACCTTCTGCTGCTCCTCTCTTAGCTTTCTACGTGGGGATGAAACTACATCAGCCAACTCTGTGGACTCAACATCAGCTTTTCACCAGGATCGTGGGCTACAGAAACACGTCCTCCTTTCTGCTGAACAAAAACCGTGTGCCCTCAGGTGGTTTTGCAAAGTAACAGAGGGACAACCCAGCTCCAAGCACCTGAGGCTCAGCAAAGCTCCTCGAAGGAGCAGCCTGGTGGAGGGAGCAGTGGTGGGTGACTCTGCTGCAGTGTCTGTAACGGGTCACTTGAATGAATCCACCTCCCCAAGGCCATTTCCCCACGTGACATCCTCCCTGAACAAGCTGCTTCTGCTATATAATCACAGGCTCAGTTCTTCAGCGTTATTCTGAAAGACAGGCAGGTTTTGACTGAGGAACATTTGGAAACTGTATTTAACATCGGCAGCCTGGTTTTCTCCTTATCTGGGTTTTCTTACAAACCTGCCTCATTTCTGTGGTTACTTCTGCCATCATTTCACACTCCCAATCCCGTTCTTGAAACGAACCATACGTGCGATTAGAAACACTTGAAACGTTTCAAGCCCTCTTTGGTTCCTGAACATAATAGCGAGTAATTCATTGTGGGTTAATTGTAATTGCAAAACTACACCCAGCTAATTAGAAGCCGGCCTGAGGCCAGAATCGAACCGAGTCGAAATAATGGACTGATGTGAGTTTAAAATAACTTTATTGAACTAAGTGGATTTCAAGGATTTGCGTCAGCTGAAGGGCTGAGCCTCCAGTGGTTGTGGTAATATTTTTAGCAGAAAAGTGAAAGGAAATGGCTCGGTTTTCTTCCTTTTCGAGGCACATCACTGAAGCATTATATGGGGTTATAAACAGGAACGGATCCCAGTCACAAAACGCACGATCGGAATTGCAAATAGGCTCCACTCGTAACTGTTCTGACTCCGCAGGCTTTAGACGAGCGCTAGAAATCAAGACCATATGCAAAGTGGCAGACCCGAGCTTTTGATCCGCCCGCAATGAAAAAGGTTTGCTGGAATAGCTGTAGTGACAAGCTCTCGACTACAAATGCAGTTCATACCAGGAGGAGAGTGTCTGGAATGGAATAAACTACAGAAGCACAGGAGATTTTGGGTAACGATAACGAAATCTATGTTGTATCTTTCGCTGGTAACAGAAATGCCACTTAAGAAGAAGATTCAAAATCACAACCTCTACCAATATTGCTACACAGACAAGAAGTCTACCACAGACCTGGCCTCCAGCTTCAGAAGAGCCCATCTGCTACGTCTGGATCAGCTGAATGTAGATTTTGTATGAAGACTGCTGCCAAATGCAGCTCATCTCTGCTGAATGACAAAAATCTCCTCCTGGGCTCATACAGGAAGAAGCTGCATTGCAACAACCCAGCTACAGGGCCCTGCTCCTGTGATTCTTGTTTTTTTTGCCTTGCTTCTACTGTACTTTTCCACCTTGGTTTCCGAAATCCTGTACAGCAGGAGTAGCCTTGGGTGCCTCAGCTCCTTTTTCTAGCAGCCACAGGTCTGAAAACTACAGCTTTCTACGGGTGGCAACTGATGGAAAATCAGTACTTACTCAAGTGGGCAATGGCTGGTGAAGTCATGTAAGGAGGGGTCCTCCTGGGCAAAGTCACCTCAGACACAGCAGCGTAAGGGGGAGGCAATGGAAGAGAGGGTGACGCGGGCTGACACCACTGCTGTGGGGGACGACACGAGGGGTGGGGGGACGGGGAGGGAGCCTGGCCAAAGGAGGAGCCTGGGGGGCTGGCGATGGTGGGCAGCGGGGAGGAGGGCGCAGCTCCGAGGTGTGGAAAGAAGGAGCCGTCCACGTTTTTTGCCTGGGTCCCAGAGGGGCCTGAAGCGATTTGTTCTTCAGCATGGCCATTCAGAGCTGTGTTTGTCAAAGCCTCCTGGCCTGCTTTGTCTGAGGGTCCCTTGGCCCTGTCAGGAATCACGGGCAGGACGGTGGGAGCCCGTGGCTGCAGGACATCCCCCCTCTGCGGAGGTGCTGCGTTGGCGGCGGGGCAAGCAGCAGACCGGGGAGAGCAGGAGACAGAAGAGCGCCTGAGAGGCTGGCGAGAGGCGAAGGCAAAGTGGGACGGGTGGGGAGGTGGAGGAGACAGCGAGGTTCGCCTGATGCCTGGCATGGCAGTCCTGAGGTTTGGGCAGGCTGGAAGGGGGGAACCTGGGGCCGTGGGCAGCTCGGAGGCCGAGTGCCTGTGCAGGAGCTGGGGGGGGTCTCTGGTTCTCCACAGGGATGGACTGGGAGCAGCGGGGGGCGAAGAGATGGCACTGGTATGGGGTGGTGGGGGCACGGGAGCGCTGCAGTGAGTGCAGGCAGGAGGAGGAGATGGGGACTGGGAGAGGGGAAAGCAGACGCTTATCGGAAGGGTGGAAACTAAAAGGACAGAAAAGACAAATGAAAAGAGTAAGATGGGTACACGGCGAGGAACGAAACCAGGGTGAAGCGGAACAGAGAAAAAGGAACCGTGAAGTCAACGCAAACAGAAACTCAAACCAAGCAATGAGGAGATGGTGCAGGCACCGGTTTGGGGGCTCCAAGGCCCATATGAACCTGAGGCACGATCACGAGCATCACCCTTGCACCAGGAGCAGCTGCACGGGACATGGCCACAGCGGTGGCCACCTCGTAGCCAGGGAGGGGACAGCCAGAGCCCCCGGGAGCCACATCTCACCCCTTGCAGATGCCAAGGCAGGATTTTGGCTGTGTTCCCTATGCGGAGCAGCACGCAGTAACCTCTGCCGAAACAGAGTCCACCAACTTTGGTGGCTCACTAAGGATATTTGTGTATGTCTGAGCTGGTTTCGAGTCAAAAAACAGAAAGCTGCAACAGCTGAGGAAAAACATTTCACTTATGTGGCCAGATTAACTGAAGAAACTTCCCCCAGACAAAAGCCCAAACACAAGATGCCCATCTTGGCTTGCTCACTCTGCCTTCTTTCCGGGAGGCAAAGCCATACTTTGCAGTTATAAGCTATTCCTGTCATCTCTCAGCTTAGTGCAACTTAATATGCTATAGAAGATTTTCGTCAGCTCATTAAATATATATATTTTTTTCCATTAAGCTCACAGAAGACTCCTCACTTCCTGACCACAAAATCCCCACTGATGAGCGTCCAGAGCTATATTTTCCAGTTTGCTTTGTGCCGCAGAGCGATGGGGAGCGCCAGACCTGGTCCACCCCTTCGTGCTGATGTCCCCTGGAAACACGGAGCCACTCTGGTGGTGGCTCTGCTACCTGCTCTATTTGTGTGTGGCTATTGCCAGACCCCTTGGTACACCTAAAATCCCCCTCAGCTGTGCAAGTTTTGCCAAGAGCAAAACCTGCCTAGCTCCACCTGCATACCCTGGACTTGAGCCACTGCGAAACACCACCACCACCACACCCCAACGCGTGTCTTCAGCTGAAAATGCTTTAAAATCATAATTACAACCACTTCTAGCAGCCTAGCTCTTGTACAGCACCACGCAAAACCCAACTACAGCTACAGGAGACAAGCAGGGAGAGGCTACATCTGCTCGCTTTGATACGTGCCTGTGGTGGAGGTTCTTCTTTCCAGAGACTCCTGGCGCTGTTGCTGCTGCTCCATCACTTGTCTAAAACAGCAATGAAAAAAAACCCTTGGTCATGTTGTATTCTTTATAATTTTGAGTAAAAGCTTTACATATTTATTTATCTATATATCTATATCTATGTATCTATATCTATATCCATATCTATATCTATGTATCTATCTCTATCTCTATATCTAAATATCTATATATCTATATCTACATATCTATATATCTATATCTATATCATCTATATCTGTATCTATATAATCTATATTATCTATACCTATATCTAAATATAAAATGGTGTCCATTATTATAGCACCTATATCATCTATATCTAGACCTATATCTATCTTTTACATATAGGTGCTCAAGCTGTATGGCTCGCATAGTGTGAGGAGTCCCTCACAAAATCCTGATACACGAGTCTTCTACAGATCGGGAGGACTTGTAGTTAGAATGATCATTTAAGGAAGCTTGATCTGTGTTTAGATGCTGACCACACACAACCTGCTTTGTCCAGCTGCACAACCTGGCCATGGAGACCACGATCACCGTGTTTCCTCCTCAAATGGAGATTACAACACTGCACTGCTGCTTTTTTGGCACCTTTGCTCCTGGCCAGGTCTGGTGTCCCGCAGGGAAACGCACCACAAAGCCTTTCCCGGCTCCGTTTCCCGGGCTGTGCAGTTCCCAGGCTCCGGCAGCAGAGGACTTCTCTCACACGCTGTCAGGCTCCTGCAGGAAGCACTGGCACTGTCACCCCGGCCACAAACCCTCCCTGGCATCTCTCTTGTTAAAAAAAGATCGAGAGCTAAAATACAGACTATTTCCAGGCTTTTACCTTGCACATGGATATGGACTGAAGATTTCAACAGCATTAAAACACAGCTCTGAAATGACCTTACTATAGTACTTGGTAATAAGGTTTATTATCATTTTCTTCCATGGTTTTAGGCCAAGTTTGCCTTGAATTTGTTCCACATATGTTTGGGCCAGTCTTAACTGTATGCAGTTTCCTCTAACAATTCTACTTCATGGTAAAACAAAAGCTTAACTCTAGGCCACGCTTGAATTTTGACTCCTTATGTGATATTTTAGAGAGCTCTCCCTGTTACATTTTTACTTGCACTTTCCTGAGTCTGCAATTTTAAATAATTCCATCTTCTGACATACAAATAATAGAATTTTTAGGGAGAAAAAAAGTGCAGAAAAATAAAGTTACATTATATAAGGAAAAAGGAATGTCTTCATTTGCAAAACAGATTTCCCACATTTCAATTCTAATTCAATAGAAAATCCACAGTTGTAATTATTTGCTGTGCAGGGATCAATCCTAAACTGGTTTTATGTTCAGGGCGTGCAATCCATCCAACACAGGCAATTTCTGGAAAACCATTACAGGAGCTGGGAAAATGACTGTATGTGCAGAGGGGAAGCAGTTTTGAGGAACAGCCTGAGTTGGCTGATTCAACTGGTTTCATTCAAGCTATGGCACCTTAAACCAAATAAATAGAAATCTGATAGACCAGATAAAGAAGTGTGATAGAGCAGGAAAGAAATATGGGCCTCCAAGTCATTAGAGCTGCAGTGAAGCAGATACGGGAGTGGGGTGCTCCCCAAAACAAGGCTCAGCCACTGCCATTTGAAGTGATTTGGGTTCATGCCAGCCCTGTCTGCCCTTGGGCAGAAGCAGTGCCAAAACCACCCTCCCACACGTGCTAAAAGGAGAAGTTCTTACACTCTTAGGAAGTCAAATTTATTCCAGTGGAACTAAATAAAGGCCGAGATTGGCACAAGGCTGCTTAAGGAGTAAAGTACAAGAGGGAACAAGTTACTCTCTGACTTAAAAATATATTCTTTTAACATTTGTGCAAAGGTCTCTAAAAAAACCTTTAAACAGACAAATTTGCAGGGTAGTTGCCATAACTTCATTTCTTTGCCTGCTTATAAGATGTCCAAAAAAAGCCAGGCCTAAAATTAGGTCTGCTCTATGCTTAAAGAACGCATCAGCATAATTAAAGCTGAAAATCCTCTAGTGCAGATGCAGTAATATCTAAGTGCATCTACTGGCATAGCTTATTCCAGTCCAGTGGAGCAAAAGAAGCTTTCTCAGACCCGTGTGCCCTCTAGCAATTGAATAATACCTACCCAAAGGGCTTTTACTGTCTCTAAATGAAAAACAATAAATGAAATATTTTTTTTTTCAGATGCAGTTAAGCTGCTCGCACTTTAAATGTACAGATTAGACACCTAAATTTGAGGCCTGAAGAATTTGTGATTTTTGCTGGTTAAATGAAGAGCTGGATCAGGCGTTTCAGCCTCACACGGGGACAGGCGGCATCCTCTGCCTCTGGGTGAGCAGGGACTCTCCTCTGGCCTTTAGGACAGCTCTGCTATCCCAAAGTACATCTTACAAATCTCGAGTGAAATATCACCAGCTGACCCATTTAATAGTCATATCTAAATCTCCAGTAAATCTCAGGCCATTCAGAGTTATTCATAAAGGCGCAGGAAATCAGTTTCCCTTACAGATTTTGGAAAGGGGAAGAGAGAATCCTGTGTAAGGGCCTTGTCTTGACTGACCTATAGGTGGTTTTGTGTGGGACAGGTATCTTTTAGCGAAGGGAGCTGAAGATACTGCTGCTACAGGTATTTCTGCTGCTGCCACAGGGATTTTGGCTGAATCAGCAAGGCTGAAATGAGATGGGCCTTGTAATTTGCTTATGGAGATGGGCACATAAGGCCGGATGCTCCTGCCCACCTTCCCTTTCATGTCAAGGAGCCACTCCTAGCAGCCAGAGAAAAGGCCATGGGTGTAAAGGTGAAGGGTATGACTTCACACTTTCATTTCTTATGGTTTTTAAGAGCAAAACATTCCTAAAAGGCTCAGCGTACGCCGTAGACAAATCGGGCCTACACTATCCTTGAGTGTCGCTCCCTGGGCAATAAGGCCGCCAGCTGCCAGCCCATCATCCACCACAGGGAGGGTTCGGCTTTCTTCGTGTGCTTGAGAAACACACACTCCAAACACTGCTTTTAAATCTGTTTTTGTCTTTAACTCTGAACATCAGCATGCCTCACGCTTGCCCGTGAGCAAAGAGTTTACCTAGGGCTGCAGTTCACCCTTTAAAAAGTCACTACAGAATCGTTAGCAATAATTACAGAAAACCCAGAATCAGCTTAAAACAAGTAAAAAACCAGTGCTCGTTGGTGAGCAAGGGCTGCACGTTCATCTGAGTTACAAACGAGGACTCTGCCATCACTGATCCACTCCACCTACCTCCTCTGTGCTTCCATCTCATCTGGAGATGGCCCATTCTGGACCTGGCGCTGGGCAGCTGGACCTACAGAAAAAAACAAGAAAATGCTATCAAGAAAGCCCATGTAGCTGACTTTTTTAAAAACAGTGCTTCTCCATGTTTCTATGAGAGAATAAACCTATCTTTTTCCTATTATTTCCTGCTTCTGCAGGATCCACATCAAGCTGAGAATTCACTTGGCACTCACCAACAAAACCCAGCTACACATGTAAGTCACATATCTCTCTACTCTGACCATTTAATCTCTGTTCTGGGACATTTAAGGAAACAGACTGACATGGCATTTTCAGCAG